TTTGAAGCAGATATCTTCAACCAGTTGAGCTGAAATTTTGTATATACACGTTTTGATTAAAAAGCACGGTTAGCTGTGTGAGTCATTTTAAAACCATCATGGCGGAATAGTTATTTTTAATGCATTCCTATGATATGGGTATCAAATTACAAGGCTTGCGGAGAATAGCTCGAAATATAAAGTGACGTCACTCTAAATCCAACATGGCGGAACACCCATGATGGCGGACTAGTTATTTTCATTGCACTTATACAATATGGGTATCGAATGAAAGGAGACAACGAGTTAAGCTCCGTTGCTCCATTAAATTTATATAAATATAATTTATATGAAATAAAAATTAAATGCTCTAAGAAGAATAAAATAAACTTTTGAGTTTTACTATCAACTTATAACGTCATTATGTAGGTACACAATTTATCTTACTAATATTATAAACGCGAAAGTTTGTATGGATGAATGTGTGGATGTCTGTATATATGGATGTGTGTTTGTTACTATTTCACACTACTGACTGGATTTTAATAAAATTTTACAATAATATAGCTTACATTAGAATAACATAGGCTAACATTTATTATACAAATCTTACGCAGACGAAGTCGCGGGCAGAAGCTAGTAAGATATAAAAGCTTGCCGCAAGATTTTTAGCGCATTTAAATAATTGGTTGTTTTTATAAAATATTTTTTGCTACCAGAATAAAAGACTATTTTTTTTCAGACGCCTTAAATGGCTGCAACTGATCCGTCGAAATGATTTAGAACACAAACCTAAGTTTACTTCCTACCTGATATGTGAAAAACATTTTAATGTGGAGGACATACGACAATCATTAAATCGAAAACTTTTAAAAAAGAACGCCCTTCCATTATTGATGCTGCCAAGCTTAACAAGTACCGTTCCAAGAGGTTCTCAGAAAGAAGACAAACAAACTCAAACTGATCTGACCATTGAAGTTGAAAATTGTACACAGACTGAAAATGCAGCGAATGAAAGTTATGCCCAAACCTCAACGAGTCTCTCTGGCAACACTCCAAGGAAAAGAAAATTGAAGGCAATGCAGAAAGAAAATAAAACTACAGGAAAATGAAAATAAAACAAAAAGGCCGAAGAAAGAACTTTCCACCGACTTTGCGATACATTTTTGCCCAATGAACTAGCTCTCCTAATAAAAGCACAAACTAACCTAAAGCAACATGATAAAGGAAATCGATATGATCAGAACTACATCATTTACTGCCTAAATTTATACTACATCAGCCCACAAGCTTACCGGTTTTTGCAAAATGCTTTATGTCTCTGTCCCTGTCCTTCAACATTGTACAAACATTCTTTCCCAATTACAACTGATATCATTGAAAGAGCTATGTCTGTTCTTAAAATAAAGGGTCTGATTTATGGAAAGCTTCCAAAAAGAGAACAGTTTCTATTGAAACACCTTATTTTTTTATTAATAATAGAAAAATATATTATAGTTTTGATGCACCGCATCTAATTAAAAACGTACGTAATAACCTGATGCAATATGATTTTCACTTTAGAAATTGTACAGCGAAATACGATCATATAATACACTTTTATAATCAGGATATAAAAAGGAGTTTAAGGCTTGCGCCTAAACTTACCAACAGCCATATCAAACCCACAAACTTTGAAAAGATGAAGGTTTGCTTTGCAACACAACTTTTTAGTAGGTCCGTTGCAAATGGCATTTGTACGTATATAGATATTAATGAAATTGAAGAATCCGCCAAAGATACGGCTAACTTTTTAATGATTATGAATGATTTGTTCGATTCTTTGAATACATCTAATTTGAGACAAAGTTATGAATATAAAAGAGCGTATACAGGCGATGAATCACAAAAGGCATTTTTCGAAAAGATGATAAGCTTTTTTCAAGAATTTAAATTAATAAATCCAAAGAATGGCCGTGACCACACATCAAGTGTTAGATTCATTGAAGGTTTCCAAATTACTATCACATTCTTAATGCTCTTGTTTGATGACTTGTGGGTGGAAGGATATAATTTTCTTATGACAAAACGATGCAATCAAGACGCTCTTGAAAATTTATTTGGACAGATACGCACAAAAAATGGCACGGTTCTAAATCCAACGTGTAGACAGTTTGTATCGGCATTTAAAAACTTAATTTTCTGCAACATTATAAAACCCCCAAAAGGAGGAAATTGTGCATATGATTTCGGAAAACTTCTTGTTCAAACGACTCGTAAAGAAGTTAATGGCTGTGCAATTTCTGTACCAACCAACGGGATTTCAAACACAGAAAATGAAGAATTTTCTAGCGTACAGATCAATAGCTCTGATTATAACAAATTAGACATGCCAGAAAAAAAATCGCTTTTTTATATTTGTGGGTATCTCCTTAAGCGTTGTTTAGAAAAACATGACGATTGTCAGGCTATGAAGTCGTACGTGAAACCCAATCAAAGAAGCCACAATTTCAGCTCAGAGAGTCGGTATTTAAGGTACCGGGACTATTGTAAGGATAATTTACAAACTTTTTTAATCGTTCCTTTTAATGATTTCTTGGAATATGTAGAACAAATGGAGGAAATATTCCGGACATCATTAAACAAAACATATAAATTGTAAAATAGCTGCAGGTATATATAATATAGTTAAAGATATTCCTTTTTCTTTTCCTTGCCAATGTTTCCCTAAACCATTTTTGATTAAACTTTTTATACGAATGCGTATTTATTATACACTTAAATTTAATATTAAAGCTTTTTGTACGTCTCAGTCAAGGCGTAAATATTTTTCTGTCTCAAATCTATAATTTATTTTTATTAAATATTACCTAAAAATTACTTGTATTTTATTGAACACTTCCTAAATCATTCACAGCATTTTTTTTATATATCAAATAAAATGTTTACAATCACATACCTAGAAAGAAACTCAATTATGTAGATGAAAATAAAATACTGTAGGCGGGCAGCCCTACCGCATGTGAACGCAGCGCTCGGCCGTAGGTATTTATTTCAAGGACAGGGCGGAGTCACAATACTGTATAGATAATATTACCGTGACCCGGGGTATCTCGAGTTATCCCACACATGCAGGACGGGCCACATTCGGAGCTAAGTGCGTGGCCAATTTCCCACCGCACCGCTTCTTGTCTACTGCGGAAGGACTGCCTAGACGTTCCTCTCGCAAGGGGAATTCTAAATTACTATAACAACTAATCAACATAACAAGCATATATCATGCGCAAAAACCTTGCGACTGGAGTGGTGGTGTGATCATAGGACGCCTCCAACTCTCAAAACTAAGGTATGCTGACGACTTAGCCAACAAGGTGGTGCTTGTTGGCTAAGGTTGAAGCTGAAATGGTTGTCTTACATGATCATCTAAACTCTGTCAGCCAAGAGATGTGCTTACGCATTATCCAGTCCAAATCGATCCGCGATAACGATCGATCCGGTCAACTACAAAATATCCACACACTCGGCCTGTATGATATAGTTCAAGACTTTGTGTCGAGTATCTCCAACAAAAATGGAACAGAGAGTGAAATCCAACGGCACATTGGAATGGCCAAATCAGCAATGACAGAACTGGAGAAAGTGTGGAGAGACCGAAATACTAAAGAGGACCAAGATGTACTTGTTCAGAACCTTGGTCTTTCCTATTTTCCTTTTCAGGGCCGAATCATGGATGGTGAAGATGTCTGATCGAAGACGCATTAATGCTTTCGAGATTTGGTATCGGCGGTGCATGTTACGTATATCGTAGAAAGGTCCAATAGACAAATGAATCTATTTGGAAAGTTGCATGTAACACAGAGACTTCAAAAAAGTGTTGCAATACTTTGGCCACATGAACTGAAAACCCTCTGATAACCTAGTGAATCTGATTGTTACGGGGAAGCCCGTAGACTAAGGGGCAAGATGATACAGCCCTACTAGATGGACCGACCGAATATCAAATATCTTAGCACCACCATCACTAATGCTAAAGATAGGGAAAACTGGAAGCAGCTCTGTCAAGGAAATATGAGACGGAAAAAACATGGCACTCAGCATTAAGCTACGACTGAAGGAAAATACAATTAATCAGTAATCTTTAAATAAATAAAAATGATTCGTCGAATTAATGTATGGTATGTACGCACATAACCTACTTCCAAAGAATGCACCAATTTGTTTTTTTTTTATTGTGAGAAGGAAGTGTATTTATGACATATTAGAAAAAAAATGGCGGCAGGTACGAAGTTCGGTGGGTCAACTAGTAATTATTATAAATCGGCTTCCACCACAGGCCGCGTCTGTGTGTAAGACACTTTAGGAGGTGCTCGACAGCGCAGTTGTATGTGGACTGCAATATTTATGACCTTGCCAATCATAGGATGACTGTCCAAAAACTTATATTATTAACTTGAGTGCTTTCAAGATTCGGAAGGCGCGTTAAGCTGTTAGTTTCAGTTGCATCTGTAGTAAGCACCCACCCACTCCACCTATCCCACGACCACGGCTAATTAGACCTGAGGTCCGAGTCTCAGTGACGCCCTTTAGTTCAGCCGACCTAAGGTTTAAGTGGTCTAGTGGCTCCAGACAGAGCGGACACTCTCCTCGAGGGGAGATGCCATCCGCCTGGAAAATACCTCTAGAGGCACTCGGCAATTTTGGCTTAAGGAGCCTTTAGGCCGCAAACCCGGTGAGGCAAGACAGCGCCATCTCTTCGCATTTTGGGTTACCTACAATGATGGCGCTGCTTCGCAGCCTAAGGGAAGAGAAAATTCGACGCGGCCGTCAGGGCCACGATAGCATAATGGTCAGTGCATTCCCCCGGATAGCGAAGGATGCGGGTTCGAGTCCCATTTGCTGCCTTTTCCTCATTGTTTTTTTTTTATTATTCTTGCTCAGCCTAACATATATTTTTGCTACAGACCGATGAAACTTAAATAGGCCGATGTGTCTGGGAGTGTACTTAAGTCTGTAATGTAAATAGAAATAAATCTTAAACGTACCTGGGCCAATCCCACCAGTAGTAAAAGGCAAAACATATATTCCACCGCCATTTTCGACTGCCGCTTAACAACTGAGTATTAAATATTGACAATTATACTTTAATGTGGCACAATGGTAATCACCTGATTTTATCTTGGCGCATAAGTACATATTAATTATAATTAATGAAGCGGACTTATCTTGAAGTCAAAGGATAATCTATTGATAATAGGGTTTTAGGTATGTAGGGTAAGATTTAAAAACTAAATTGTTTTTTCCTTATCTAATATTAAAATTCTCGTGTCACGGTGTGCCTAATTGAACTACTCCGAAACGGCTCGACCGATTGTCGTGAAATTTTATATGCATATTCAGTAGGTCTGAGAATCGGACAACATCTATTTTTCATCCCCCTAAATGTTAAGGGTTTAAAACCCTTAACTTTTAGGGCGCCACATGTCACACAGCCAATGAAACGATCAATTTATTGCAAACCAAATTTCCCGATCGCATAATTTCACTAAACTCAGCTGTTAATTGGCCAGCCAGATCGTGTGATTTAACACCACTATATTATTTTTTGTGGGGTTTTGTTAAGGACAAAGTGTATACGGGGACAATCGAATCGATTGCAGCCTTAAAACTCAAAATCCGTGATGTGATTAACAAAATAGTCCCGTCATTTTGCCAAACAGTGATTAAAAACTTTGATGAAAGAATCGACATCTGTCAGCGTGCTCGTGGTGGACATTTGCAAGATATCATTTTTCATTCATAATTGCCGAACTTTTCGTTTTGTAATTCAATAAAAAATTTAATCATCTGCATCTAAATATTTTGTTTTATCTTGTATTAGAAAACAAAGTTCTTGTTGAAAATCCCTATACATCATAAAAAAATACATACAACCCTAAATTTTCACACTTCTACCACCAACCCCTATTTTTTATGGCGGTACGAAGTTCGCTGGGACAGCTAGTGTGCCTATAATCTCAAGTTGACGATTAATGCCAAAACTATGAGCGTTCCTCGTTGATGCGGAATCCTAAAAAGTTGTAAATGTCAAATTTAACATTAAGTTCATATCAATGTATGTTAACGTGGTAGACCTGAGTTCGTACCCCTAGCACGAACCAATATCGAATTCGTATCGTTTGCGAGTCCGAAATGTCATTGTCAAATGTGTACTGTACTCCTAGGCCTATATTCCTTTACCGGCAAGAGGTGCGGGAACCAGCGTATTGGTAAATTGTGAGTGGCCTCAGCAAAAGTTTCTAATTATGCGACTACCCCCGTTTTGTGACCAGTTTTTATGTTCTTTTTTTCCCTTTCTATTCTTTTTTTTAATATATTTGCCCCTCTTTGGGTACTTGTAATTGTTAGGGACCGGCACGGCTACATCATTTTCTTAAAATTATGTCGGAGCTGGTTTCTGATTCTATCACTAGGACGGACAGGGCAGAATTAGGACGACGCCTTTTAGTCTATAAATGTTGGTAGATGGTTTAATCGTCTAGCTAGGCACAGGAATATCAATAAAATAAAGTTTAAAATATACATAATTTTATTATATAATTTGACTAAGTACATAAAATTGTATTAGGTACAAAATATCACAACAGACTTATTGACTAAGCTTTTTACAATAAATAAAATTATAGGGTTGTCAAAACAAAATGTTGCAATTAATGTTATATAGATCTAATATGAATATCTTAAACAAAACATCGGTCACACAATCTTACGGTCGCCAACGTCAATAATTTTTAATTTAATATAAATTAGTGCTGTCTCTTTTTAACAAACCCGTGAATTTAATGGATATAAAGTTTTTTAAACGTTATTTTATCAGAAACTTAATAAAACTATCTGTACTTATAAAGGAGTATGAAACTGTCATTATTTCATGATACTAAGGTCGATTGTTAAGAATCACAATTATTGAATATTGTCTTTTAAAGGCACATAACCACTACTACACTCAGAATATTTTTTGATTATAAATAAATATAGTACAACACAGCTACGTTACTCTGCTGATCCTAAGGCAAGTTGATGAAGTAAGAAAATACTTTTACTTTACGAACCAAAAGGTGACTAATAGCTGCAATAATAAAAATAAATTATTGATTTAAAAATTTACTCTATCAGGCCACATAGCCAACAGAAGACCACAGTAAAATAACACTATCTTTTAGTGGTGTTGTGTTTCTGTCGGAGAATAAGGTTCCAGGGCTCCACGGGGTAGGGGATTGGGTCAGAATAATCAACAGTGCGAGTGATATTTTTGATATCGCAAGCGTCTATAGGCTATGGTGGCCGCATACCATCAGACGGGCCATACACTTGTATGCCACCCTTTGAAATCATTACAGTAGACCTGTGGTAATCCGGGGAACGTTTTGCAGGGCGGTGTCGGATTATAGAATTCTGCCTATATAGTCCAGCGTTTTTGGAATAAGAGTACCTTTTGATCTGGTAAATAACAAATCAAGAATTAATCTATTTGAATTGATGTTTGCGGAATTCCGTGGATCTACTGTATTTACTTGATACTATTCGATACTAAAAAGAAAACAACTAAAGGTTACATTAATAAATGATTACAATATTTATTACGTTATAATTAGCAGTAAGTACCTACGTATACGTTGCATTGAGATGCTTTTTGACAACCCTACATCTAATATGGTATTTGACAAGTTTTAGAAAATGACCTCACGTTATTTACTAATGTCTATGGAGTCCATAAAAAGTTAATATTTTTAATTAATTTGTGTTATACAGTAAAAAAACTAAATGAAAAATTCAATTTTCAAGTTACCGCGGAAACGTTTCTCTGGACTTTTCGGCGTCCCACTTGTATGTGACGTGACACGACATGACTGTCATTAAAACGTCAAACGGTACAATGTAATGTCACTTTGGCCGGAAGTTTACTAGTGTGTGACGTCATTTTACCCTTGGCCAATTCCAGGCGTTTTCGGTCACGAGACCATGGAGCATAAAAATTTATTCTATTTAACGATTTTATAGAAAAGTTAATAATTATTTCTTCCTTCAGAATAGTAAACTTGCTGTTAATATTCATATTAAAAACAGTTGCCAACAATTGGAACATTATTTTTCTTACTGTCAAACAGCCTATTGGCTTCACTATAATATAGGTTATATAAAATGTAGTTATAAAATTGTTCAACCTCTTAAGATAACTCACTACAAAGGCAATTGCATTTCATTATGCTAAGCTTTATTAGCCATTAGGAAAAGATATAACATACGTTAACAAAATACTTGGAGATCTCAACCATAGACAGAAAACAGTACCTTTAACACGAACCAATATCGAATTCGAATAGTTTACGAGTGCGAAATATCTTTGTCAAAAGTCAACATTTGACAATGACGTTATGCACTCGCAAACTATTCGAATTTGATATTGGCTCGTGCAAAGAGTACAGTATAGAAAAACGGGATTTATTTTTAAATCTATGGATAGATAGTTGTGAGAGAGACGAATCGATCAGTGCCCTATTTTTGAAGTGGTGGTAGATATATCTAATTTTTCTTTGAACGCAAAATCAGTGATATGAAAGCCGAAATTTATTCTTTCTTTATACATATATTCTACTGTATTTGTTTATCATATTTTACAGCTTCTCGTCTCGTAATGAAGCACCCAATTTTGTCAACATCGTTGATAAAGCAACCGATTACACTTTCTGTTTTATCAAAAGTTTATTTTATTTCGGTCTAATATATTAAGAGACCGAATCCTCCATCCATCCGAAATCCAATTCAAAGATGTTATAGTTTACAGATTTTTCAAAAGTTAACTTTTAATTTTAATAATCACTAAAACAATTGCATTTTTAATGCAGTAATTTTTATAATAAAAGATAAGGTTATATACATTTAAGCGTGTAAAAAATATGATTCCGTTACAGTTAGGCAGGAATAGAAATATCAGGTACCTATATTTCAATGACCTGTAGGTACCTCAAAGACCTGTTTATATATAATGGATCTGTAAAGTGCTATAGCTTCAAAGGAAAATATAATATAAGTACATAACGATTTGTTTAAGTATATCAAATGTACTTTTTAGCTCGTTATTTCAATAAGTACTTCTTTATTAAAAATATAAGGAAATATAATAAAAAATATAAGTAACTGTAATTTATGAATGTTCAAATCCAAGCATAATAATAATCCTTATGAGGATATTTCAAAAGTAATATTTTTATATACTATTTTGTACACAATCGTTATTGCTAAAATAGGAACATAATTATGTAACTGATCTTTAAGTTTTTACTGTCTTGAAAACAACTCGAATCTATCACGTCATTAATTAATTTACATATAAAATACATTGTAATGATAATTTATTTGCATTGGCTACTATATACACAACCATCTAAGTACATGAAGTAGTACAAAAATAAATATTTTTATTTATTATAACTAAATCAAGTCAGTGACTGGGGAATTACGTCTTATCATTAAGTCCGTACCTGGATTTACAGGTTCGTCGGTTGTTTTCCTCAAATAAGTTTAATAATAACCTTATCAAACCTGGTGACTGGGAAACTACGTCTCTTCATTAAGTTAGTACCTGCATTTACAGGTCCGTCGGCTGTTTTCATCAAGTATTGCATTTACTCGACTCCAGTAAAAGAGCTACTATCACGCGGTTACAGTAACTGCAACCTCCTGTTTCTTCGCTTCTGTGAGTTTGTAATAAACCACCGCGTCATGGACAGTCGGGAAAGTGTCCAATTGGAGCCTGTCAGACTCCAAAGAGTTGAATCTCTCGATCATTTCTAAAACTGGAGCTGTGGAATGGAAATGATTGCATTTTAGTAAAATACATCGAGATTTTTTCGTAACTTGACAAATCCAAGCGACATTTGAAAATGAAATTCGTGAGATCATCTAATATGAAGTGTTGTACACCAGAACATAAAAATGTGTAATAGTTGAAAATTTTAATTATTTTCAAAATAATTATAAAAAATAAATATAGTGTAAGCTTCAGCGATCATTGTATTTTCTTTAATTTAAAAAAAGTGTAGCGGTCAAGTAAATGGTCTGCCTGATTATGAATAAATATGCCAAAAGATAGATCATCGTCGTGAAGCACATTGGTTATTTTTAGTGTTCTTAAGTGAGGAATACTTCCCCGCGTATCTAATACGAACGGATAATTATTATTTCTCTTTTAAAATCTATGAGGATGTAAGGAATAGTTCGAAAAAGATACAGTTTCATATATAGTGTATAGAGTAGATATGGAAATAAATAACAATTTTACCGTTTGCGCCTGCTAGTAGGACAGTAATGTTACTAGAGTCCAACTCCTTCTGGACGGCCACAAGAGTCTTGACTCCCGGAGCATCGACGTAAGACAACGCTGTAGCGTCGATTATCACGCATTGGACCTGACCATGAAAACGTACGTATTAGGAAGTAAATACAATCACAAGCTTATTTCCTAAAAGTATCTTGTTATATTGTCATCAACATCGGCTTTTTGTTATTTCTATGAATAAACTCAAATTTACATTTACAGGTCTGCCAGTTATTGTCTTCAGGTTTTACATTGACCAGACTATACTTATTTACAATTCAAAAGAGTTTAACTACAATAGGAAAAAGATATTTTAACTTTGGCCAGTACTATTTCAAGCAGGACAGACAGGCAGGATAAGAAGATTACCCAAGAGATCTTCAAGATCAATGTTAAGTACTTACCCGGTTCCCAATAGTGGGGTCCCACTCATAAGACTCGCTCTTGGTGAGGTTGTTGTCTTCATCTGGAAGAGGTTCTGAAGGTTTCAGGTACCCGATTTTGCGGAATAAAGTCGCCCGGAACAGGTTCTTGGTGGCGAAGTTCAGACCTCCGCAGTAGTGGAATATTTTGATGCCGGGCAATTCTTCGGCCTGCCGACAAAATAACCAATAAGAAAATAATTAAAATATTCTTATGACTCAGTTAATTTTTTTTTTGATTTTGAATAGAAAAATAAAAAAAAAAATTTTTTCAATAATCTATAACAGATAGATTAATTTCCAATGCCCTTTCAAGTCATGTAGATCTGTGATTTTTTTCTGTACCACATATATAGAACGTTTTTTCTTTACTGATGAGAAAAACAAGAGCGAGAAAAATCGGTGCAGACGGTACAGACTAAATAACTAAAAGGCGCACAAAGCTTTTAAAATTTTTGACAACCTCCATGGTGTAAGTGGTATGTATGTGGGTTTGAAGGTGTCGCCTACTCAGAGGAAAGCAGTGGGTTCGAAACCCGATGGAGCAAATGTTTGTATGATGAATAAGAGTATTTGTTCCCTTGTTCAGCTAAGTCATGGCTGTTTATATGTATTTATAGATAAACATACTTATATGTATCAGTATACCGTTGTATTCTTTCTATCGGTGTGATCCTAATTGGTCTGAGCGTTACAAATATTGATTTAATACAAGCGGCCACCCGCAACTTCGTCCGCGTTATTTTTTTTGTAGAATCCCATAGGATCTTAATGTTTTTTTTGGGATAAAAAGTATCCTGTATCTTAATTCAACTGTTAAACTATATTCGTACCAAATTTCATCCAAATCTGATCAGTAGTTTGCGTGATTGAGTACCTAAGAAACAAACATGCTCACTTTCAAACTGTTTTGTTACGATTAGGATGCAGTTAGGATATAACCTCAATGGCTTAGCACTTATAAAAAAAAGTTAATAGCTATCGTTTGATTGATATTGTCATGTCGCCAACGTCACCAACTAATCCGGAAATGATAAACACAGCAAAACAGAAACATTCAATTATGATTAAAAATGTATTTAATACAATAAAAATGTGATTACCACACAAGTGAAATTACTAAGAGTTGGTAAGTACACACAGTAAAACAGCCATTACACTACCCAATTTTAAGGGCCCTATCGAAAGGCGCACATTGCTGTGAATATTCGGCAAAATAATATTTTTTTAGTTACAAAGCCTGGAACATCGACGCAAAGTTGCCAGTCTTTCGGTGTTCTATCGGTTGCATTTCGGTGAGTGCGCAGAGGAATTACATGAGCTAATTCCTCCCGCCCCTTTCTACTACCGGACGAGCAGGGAAACGGCAAGGCGACATCGATTCACGGTGGCAGTTCCAAAGACTCGCACTAAGCGATTCGCGTCCAGCTTCATCGTGCGGACTGCCAAACTGTGGAATTCCTTGCCTGAGCCCTTGTTCCCCGAGCACTACAATCTAGCGGTCTTCAAAGCAAGAGTGAACCGGTTTTTATTAGGTAAGCGCGCTCCATCGTAGACCATAATATTGCTTTCCATCAGGCGAATTATGGTCAAGCGCTTACCTATTAACGAATAAAAAAAAAAAAAAACCTCCATGGCGTGAATGGTATGTATGTGGGTTTCAAGGTGTCGCCTACTCTCAATCGATTTCTATTTTTTGATGATTATTTAAATGTGTGCTTTTTTCAATAGCTTTTGATATCTTTTTGCACTTCTTTCTCTTTATTAGATGCCATCGCGCCATAAACTAATTCGACTATAAAAACGTCTGTACTATCCGCTCTCAGGGTGTCGACTGAGCTCTGACTGTCTTACAGCTATTTCACTGCCTGATTGTTAAGGCGCAATTATATAATTATAGTTATATGGAAATACATATAAATAATTATCAATTTATGCTTGTTAGGGTTTCGTACACAAAGGGTAAAAATAAATAATAAATAAATAAATATTTCCAACACTCACACCAGTTAGCCTAGCCCCAAAGTAAGTACTGTAAGGCTTGTGTTATGGGATGCTAGGGTAACGGATAGAATACATATACTGTACTATACAGTATATTTATATAGAAATACATACTAAACATACATGACTGGAGTACAAATGCTCGTATTCATCACACAAACATCTGCCCCCACCGGGATTCGAACCCGGGACCCCTCGAGTCGGCGACACCATGAAACCTGGCGTACAAACCACTCGGCCACGGAGGTCGTCACAGTGTGCAACTTTTCGGAATAAGTATCTCAGTGGCATTAAAAATAAAGCAGTAATGGATCACTAAATAACTCTTATATCCAAAGAAAATATAACTAGAAAAAAAACCACGCGGAGGCAGCAGACGGTACTCGAATCCGAATGTTTAATACTTGTGAAAGTATTCATTTGAAAAATGGTGCCCTATTGCTGCCACACGCCCTTGGCTGGGCCTCGGGCCTCAAACAACACCGTTGTTTGTAATCCGTCACTTTCTCCCCTAGGTGAACAATGTACTATTCATTACGTGGCTTGTTGTACGGAACCCTGCGTGCGCGAGTCAGAAGCGCACCTGGACGATTTTTTTTAAAATTTCTAATCACTACCTAGAGAGTATGGTATGTACCTATCTTAAGGTTCGCTCTATCTAGGCGTGAATTTTTGATGATGAATTTCAACCCGCTTGTGTGCATAGCAACCCTTATAACTTCTTAGCATTCATTAATTGTCAGTATCAATGTCAGGTGGGCCGCTGGGGTTGCGTTCAGTTATTGCACTCTGTGCGCGCCTGTCGCTGTGTGGGCGCGTGGATAGCACTTGCGGCCTTAATATTTATTTAATATAATTTATTATCTATCTTATAAACTATAATTATTTATGTCTCAGTTTATGTATACTCTTATATGTATATGTATTTTACTCCATTTTGTAATGTATACTGTTGTCTCTAGCAATCTCGTACAGGCCCTGCCAGAATACCAGCGCTGTTATGGTGGGAATATTACATTCCTACTATAACAGCATTAAGCTGAGGCACGGCCCTAATTGGCCTTTTCTCTCTCCATATTGTGGCTCACTGTTGTTATTTTATGTTTATTTTTTTACATACTTTTGTAAGGTCAATAAAAGCTTTTTCTGTCTTTCTTTCTTATAATGCGTACGTAAACCAGTGAACTATGTTCCCTAATATTTGCGGTATTTTTTTAGAACCTGGTCATTTTCTGAACTTTAGACATGAAGTTGTGTCACCGGGAAAAGTACCCTTATAAACTGAACAGCCACATATGTCTCCTGGGCCTTGTCAAGTGGACTGTGGTGGTGTTCTTACACATAATGCTGATGGTCTGCATCCAGTTCTTCATAATGTTGGCCCATGACGACCGCGAGCTCGATATGGCTAGCCGAGGCATGCTGATGTCGCAATAGTTAAATGTGGTCTTTTGTGTGTAATAAAACAACTTGTTTTTATATTATGTGCTTTTTTATTTCTATTGCCGAAGTAGGAAGTCAATGAGGGTTTTTTGGAATGACGGGCACCAGGTGGCAGTACTGAGACGAAAGGTCTAATCTTCCGTCAAATCGCATATGATCTCATTGTCTATGAGTCTGGTTTATGGAGTTAGCGTCAAAAACTTCATACAAAAGACCTCACGTAACAGTGGCGCCAACTGGTGACGTAAATTTTCATAAACACCCTCATTGCGAGTTAATGTGAAAAACTCCGTAAATTACTTCCTTTTGTGGACAAAGAAGTTTGTACACATGTGAACACTAAAAAGGGATTTTTATAAATTTTCCCCTTATGGAAATGCAATAGATGTATGAAACTTCGTCAATTGTTCAGTTAGAAATTTGCATATCGGTAAGTTTATGACATTTTTTTGTGATTTTTTCTGGGGATTCATCCACTAACTAAAACACTAAGCGTTAATATTAAAAGACGATATATAGTTTGAATGAAGCATCGTTTGAAGAAAAAATGTTATATCTGGACTATATATTATATACTTGGAAAAATATAAACAGAATTTTTAATTTATATAACAGTACAATAAATGTGCGATAACTAACCACCCCGTACTGCTTGGTGTCCAGATACAGGTCTGTGTCAAGCACTCTGCCCAGCAGGCAGGTGTAGGTCTTCTGCGAGCGGCAGAATAACAGAACAGTTTGTGTGAAAATGATGATGATAAATGCGCGTTAACTCACCGCCCTGTACCGCTTAGTGTCCAGATACAGGTCTGTGTCAAGCACTGCCCAGCAGGTTGGTGTAGGTCTTCTGCGAGCGGCAGAATAACAGAACAGTTTGTGTGAAAATGATGATGATAAATGCGCGTTAACTCACCGCCCTGTACCGCTTAGTGTCCAGATACAGGTCCGTGTCAGGCACTCTGCCCAGCAGGCTGGTGTAGGTCTTCTGCGAGTGGCAGAATAACAGAACAGTTTTGTTGATAAAGATGAATTATAAATGCACATTAACTCGCCGCCCTGTACCGCTTGGTGTCCAGATACAGGTCTGTATCAAGCACTCTGCCCAGCAGGCAGGTGTAGGTCTTCTGCGAGCGGCAGAATAACAGAACAGTTTGTGTGAAAATGATGATGATAAATACGGGTTAACTCACCGCCCTGTACCGCTTGGTGTCCAGATACAGGTCTGTGTCCAGCACTCTGCCCAGCAGGCAAGTGTAGGTCTTCTGCGAGCGGCAGAATAACAGAACAGTTTGTGTGAAAATGATGATGATAAATACGGGTTAACTCACCGCTCTGTACCGCTTGGTGTCCAGATACAGGTCTGTGTCCAGCACTCTGCCCAGCAGGCAAGTGTAGGTCTTCTGCGAGCGGCAGAATAACAGAACAGTTTGTGTGAAAATGATGATGATAAATGCGGGTTAACTCACCGCCCTGTACCGCTTGGTGTCCAGATACAGGTCTGTGTCCAGCACTCTGCCCAGCAGGCAAGTGTAGGTCTTCTGCGAGCGGCAGAATAAAGCGCCTACGCTTGCTAGCAGACCCGCGCCCAAACTGCACAATATTGGATACATAAATAATGTATGCATTAAGTATATCTTCCAAAATCCTCACCAACAGTTTCGATTTAACGATATTTGTTTAATGAATTAATAAAAAATAGATTAATTATATTACTATATTAGAATAACAACTCTCAACTCAATATTTTTTTTGTTTAAATAAGCGTTAAATACTGTCTTTTCCTCTCCCTTTATTAGCGTTCCATCGCTGAATGTTTTCCTTTCGCAAAGTGCACCATATGCATGCCTTTCTTAAAATGTACCGCGAAAGGTATAATATGCGTAAGGATAATTTTGCGGAAGGTATAATTTGAGAAAGTAAAACTTTGAGCAAGGGGTACTTAGCACATTTTAAAAAAGGTACTCTTTTTTTCTTTATTTTGGCAGCAAACAGTCGTTTACAGATATATTACATAATTAAACATCAGTTATGAGTAAGGACCTGACGTGAGTGCCGAAAAGTGAGGTACTTACATTCTATTATTGATCCTCAGTTAATTGATCAATATCGCGTGTTTAGAACTTACCCGATATCAATGTTGACAACAACAGTGACAAGGAAGGTGCACAGCCATACCACTGCGTCCAACTTGCTCAGCTTCCAGAACCTGACAAATAATTAGTTTTTTTTGAAATGACTTATTCAATAGAAATGTACTTAGATTAAATTATCTATATGATTTACGAAACTGCATCATACATACTGATATTAAAAATGCGAAAGTCTGCCTTATAGGTATGTATATTATTTCTGCACGCTAAAACCGCTGAACTGATTTATATGAAATTTGGTATACAGGGTTCATTTTAAAACACCAACAACCTCTTAGGGGGTATTTCTACCCATCAACAAGAACAACTTTTATTATAGGACCAACGCTGAAATCGCGAAAAAGAATCTGCTGTTTTATACCAAAGTGCATCAGCTAATCGACCGAAATGTATGAAACAGCAGATTTTTTTTCGCGATTTCAGAGTTGGCTCATAATAAAACTTGTTCCTATTGATGGGTAGAACCACCCCGGGGTTGTTGGTGTTTTAAAATTAACCCTGTAAATACTTTTAGTCCCGGTTTTATCGTAAAGTACGGCCAATGAGTAGCGGTTCAAAAGTTCATTCACCTTAGACGAGTTTTTGGAACTGACCATCTCTTTCATCTCAGTAAAAAATTATGTCATAATTATTTTAATTTCGGTCCGTGTTTATCCTATACAGTTGTAATAACTAATGTTTTTTTTAATTTTTTGCACTTATTTGGTTTTCTCTTAAAATAGTAGGTAATATAAAAAATGGTTCATTATTGTACATATTTTCAGATTTGTTTTTAGCTTTTTAAAAATAAATAATTAAAGTAATACACATTTTTCTATATTTTACTTTTAAATATATGCCTATTAAAATGATAAAAGTCCTATGGTAATTTTCTTAAAAAGTTAAAATAGAATAAAAAAAGATTGTTTAAAAAATGTTGCCAACCACTGCATTTACATTATGTATCGCTTCTCGTTGGGTGTACTTTAGAATTATTATTTCCAGTCAAAGGAAAAGTCCTTCATCCCTCTTAAAAACATTTGTGTGCACGGACCGCACATCTAAAGTGAAACTTCTTTTCTTAAATTAGTGCATAAGGCATGGGAAGTGGAGCAGTGCACGCATCATTCATATACATGTCAGTATAATATAAGTAAATTGTCGCTTGTGACACTCGTAGCGTTTAAAGCCTTCGCCGACCCTCCGACTTTCATGCTCGTCGGGAAGAGCTGCGTACGCTTCACACTGACACACACACACACACACACAGACACATATATATATATATATATATATTCGTGTGACGCTCGTGACGCATTTCCGTTTCATCTTTTAAATAGCATTTTTTTACACAAATTCACGGGCGTCTACTAGTAATAAATCAATAAATGACTCACTTGGCCAGCTCAGTGACCTGCACGAACATGCCTTTGAGCGAGACAACTATAATACTGGCGAGCACACAGCGCGGCAGAAGCTCGAAGAACGGCCCCACCCACAGCAGCACGAAGAGGATCAGTACTGCGCTTATGACAGACGTGAGGCCGGTCTTACTGCCCGCCTGGGAAAAAGAGAAGACAAATTTAAAATTGAGGATCCGTAACGATTTTAGTTGAAAATGCAGATTCATAGAGCTAAGGATTCCATAAAATACAGTGGTTAAATTTTGGTTCTACTACAAATATTGACGAAGTTATGACCAAATTACTAAAAGATTTTTCGGCTGGCCGCGTGGTGGCTGTGACGTCACAGAGCCCTAGCGCTCGGGCGCGAGCGTGCGTAGAGACGCTACTGAAGTTCGACCGGAGTGAACCACGATCGCGCTCTGTGACGTCACAAGTTTCTGCCGCCGGTGAATATTGGCTACCACAAAATTAAATAAATAAATAAATATTTCCAACACTCACACCAATTAGCCTAGCCCAGTGCTTACACTGTAAGGCTTGTGTTATAAGATGCTAGGGTAACGGATAGAATACATATTTAGTACCTACATATATAAGTACAATTATATAGAAATACATATTAAACATCCATGACTGGAGTACAAATGCTCGTGTTCATCACACAAACATCTGCCCCCATCGGGATTTGAACCCGGGACCTCTCGAGTCGGCGACACCATGAAACCCGGCGTGCAAACCACTCGGCTACGGAGGTCGTCGTTAGTTATAAAATCGCAACGAATGAACCGATTTCGATGTTTTAAAAAGTATATTAATTAAAAAGCTTATTAGACCATTATACTGTTGATTTTGAGTTGATTTACTGACCTAGTAATGATCCTCATTGTGAACTATGTAACAAAGTGGACGATGTCCAACAAATTTTAATGGAATGTGTAAAGAACAGAAGAGAGGGAGAGCTATGCATACAAATATACCGACTTAACTTTGGGAATATAGGTTCCTTTGTGGATAAATTGATATTAGCACTACCAAACTCAGACGCAACGAAGTCGATGTTTGATATGGTTTTCGCTAGTAAGAATAGCTCACCCTCTCCAATGTTTTAAATTAAATTAGTTTTGTATGAGTTTTGGTTAGGGTACGATGAGGCTGGCACTTTCGTAGAATGAAAGCCTCTATATAAATTAAGAACAAAAAAGAATGTTCATTCAGTTTAGGCTGTTATAAGCACTTCACTACGCCACCGGTTCGAAAATCTACGGGGAGGGACTTTGAATTGAGAAGAAACGACCAGAAACTCAGTAAGTACTGTTTTTTCACCGTATATTATTAATATATACAGAGATATTTATTTATTTCTTAGGTTTACACGCACATTACTCATTTTATGATAAATAAATATTTTTAAAGATACTTTGGACCAAAAGTATATACGTGATTTTGGACAGAGAAAGGGGGGTAAATTAAAAAAACTGAAATGATGACGATTGTAGTGAGAATGTTAACTGTAGATAAATTCATTAAAGTTATACGTTATTGAACACTTACCTGCCGGCCTATTGCCTAATTTTGGCATTTACATTGATTACTAAAGAGAAAATTAAAAAACCAATGGACGCTTTTGAGAACAAGTCATCTTAGTGGCTTTTTAATAAAGCAGTAGTGGATCACCAAATAGCTCGGTAATTATCATTTCCATCTGTCAAAAGCACTAAGCGAATAGGCCTACTGTACCCTTGGCACGAACCATTCTCGAATTCGAATAGTTTGCGAGTGCTAAATGTCAATTTCAAATTTTGTATGGAAACTTGAACAGCAACGCCACAAAGTACGTAACGAGAACTAAAGATCAGTACCCCTAGCACGAACCATTATCGAATTCGAATAGTTTGCAAACCGAAATGTCAATGTCAAATTTTGTATGGAAACTTGAACAGCAACGCCACAAAGTACGTAACGAGAACTAAAAATCAGTACACATTTGACAATGACATTTCGGACTCGCAAAAGATACGAATTCGATTTTGGTTCGTGCTAGGGGTACAGTACACATTTGACAATGACATTTCGGACTCGCAAACGTTACGAATTAAATATTTGTTCGTGCTAAGGACACTGAAAAGGACAACAATACAGCTTAGCCGTTCCCACTCGGAAGAGGATTCGCCGTTTCGCCCTCTCTCTCCATTGAAGCGTACAGTTCTGCTCCGCTCGCTCGATTGAATGTCATTTACAAACATGTGCATGTGTGTAGGGTTACTATTTAAAAAAATAAAAAATCCTACCAAAAAGCCGGACATTTTGATAAAAGTCCGGACATTTTAGTCACAAAAAGCAAACATCACCTACTTAGTTACATTGTTATTATACGCGTGGCAGCAGACGCTCGCATCATCTCGTTGATTTTTAAAGATAACACTAGTCAACACGATTTTTGAGTCTGAGTTCTTTGTACCAGATTTTGATTTCTTATACCTAATTAATGTAAGAAACAATATTTTTAAGTTTGCTTTTGTAGCTATCAGAATGAAATTTTAAATTTAAAGTTGTATATAACAAGAAAATAATCATTAATATATTTATTTAAAACTCTTTTATTTAATTTAGATAAATAAACCAAGTCTAAAATATAATGAATAAAAGTATATCATACAAAATATTATAATTCTTTTTCTGACACTCTGTATGTGCTGCTAGTAGTGATGTAAACAAAAATAACTTGGAAATTTTATATATCGTCATGAGGCGTCCATATTTTATCCTGAAGTCAAATAGGAAGTTAAAATTAAGCTTCATATGTTTAATTAAGTCTGTAACTACAGGTTAAACTATTGTTATGACTCTAAATTTAAAAAAAAATCTCCGCAAATAAAGTAAACAGGGTCCACGTAGTTTTCACTCATTTTGGAAGGCATTTACCGCGCTAGACATTTACAAAATACGTGGTTTCCCTAAAAGGTGTGTACATGCACTGAGTGATTGCTCTACTGCTTCCTATTCCATACCCAATATCCTTCTGCACTCCTTTCTTTTGCTTATTAATAGCGGTAGATCCTCAGCCTTTTACAAAAGTCATACATATTTATTTATCATTGTATAAAGTACAAAAGCAAACTTTTTAAAATAAAAATGAGGTTTCTGGTTATTTTTTCGATATAAACAATTAGACAATAGTCAATAACAGACTCAAAATTTTTTTTCAATTTGTCGACTTGTGTAATTTAAATTTTGTTTTTAATTAATGAGAACTCCATCATCATCATCATCGACCCATGCTCGTCCACTGCTGGACATAGGTCTCCCCTAATGCACACCACTGCTCCCGATTTTCTGCAACTCTCATCCAGCTCACGCCAAATATGAGAATAAGAACTAAATAATAATATAGCTAATGAGAACTTAATAAAGATTATTTGACTTATTTGATATAACTTAGTAGTTTTACTCATATTCTAATTAAAAAAATCCGGACAAATTACAAAGCCGGACAAAGTCCGGACAAAAGGCAAAAAGTCTGGACATATCCGGACGGATGGTAACCCTACATGTGTGAGAGTCGCTTATGTATTTGAGTCGGATCACATTTTATTTGATGCTAGTATGAGTGTACCGTATCGACCCTTTTTGTTTTAATCTAAGGTTATTATACACTTACCTGGTACTGTATGTATGAGCGTGAAAGACTGGCACACATCGGAGCGCATCCGAAAAAAGAGCCAAACACATTGCTGGTGCCCTGAAAACGAACATTTTTACAGATGATTTTATATCTTATTTTAAGCATTTATCTGCTTGATTTATAAATCACAAGAAAATGTTGCTAGTAAAAAAACTAATCTTAGTGATAATTCAATGTATTTCAGAGCAGAACGGTTTTTTTTTTTATAAAAGATAGTTAATCTAGCTTCCTGGCTCTTGTGGCGACAAAAATGATTACGTCACGGCCTCTTAGTACCGTCGCGTCTGCGTCCCACTCTGGCTTTTTCTCTTTTGTCCTTTAAATCGCATTCGGAAGTTCCTTATCCAAAAGTATTTAATTATGTATTCAGTAACTTTTCGTTAAGTAACAGTAACACTGAAATAATATAATAATATTTGTTGTTACAAAATCTTTAGTTTTAGGGGGTTTTCTTTCAGTTATAAAGGATTGTGTATTTAGCAGTAAGCAACGCTGTCTAGGACAAGAAGCTCGATGGCGCGGCTGGTTAGCCTGTTCGGCTGCGATCGTTGAAGTTAAGCAACTTTCGCAGTGGTCGGTCATTGGATGGGTGACCAAAAATCTTCTATCTCGAGTTCCTCCGTGCTTTGGAAGCCACGTTAAGCCGTTGGTCCCGGCTGCATCTGCAGTCGTTAACACCCGCCAATCCGCACTGGGCCCTAAGATAGATCCGCACTGGGCCATAATATAAGAATAGGTATGTTGTTACCGGACGAAGACCTTTGATGGCACCATCTACTCACCAAAGCTAGTAACTCCTGGTTGGCGTCGATCTCATACTTCTCCTTAGAAGCGAAGATGAGAGCCATGGACATTGATATGGTGTACGTCACCATCGTGATGGTGAACGCGTCGATGGCTATCTCGGGGAATAACTCAATTGTCGGAACCGTTGGTACTGGTAGTCTGTGTACAAAAAATTATATTGCTTTAAACTTTCATGGTCCCGAACATTATAGTAATTTATGTCATTTAAGGAACTGTTACCATGTTGCAACCATGCAAGTGCCATGATCACGGAGTAACTGACGCCAGTTACCCCGTGATCATGGCGCTTGCAACAGTGCCGAAATATAGGAAACTCCTTAAAAACAAGGTACAAAATCAAAATCATTTATTCAGTTTAGGCTGTTACGATTACAAGCACTCATGAATGTCTAGAAGCTACGCCATCGGCACTTTTCTCTCTGTTTTATTTTATACAGTGTTGTCAAATTGAAAGCTGACATCAAACTTGCAAACATGTGTTGAGGTCAGTTTCCAAATTAGGTAAAAAATAGCTATCTACTCACCCAGTAGGTATAGTCCCAACTAGTTTTATGCCGAATTGTTCCTTAAGTCCCCAGAACCTGGACACTAGGGTGCCGATGACGATAGCAAGCAGCTCTATGGGTACCGGCACTCGACTTCGTTTGCTGACCCACGGCTGTAAGAAAAATGTATTTACATGGCTAAAGTACAGTACAATGCCTGTATTTTGCGTTCTTTATTTACTTACTTTAAAACCCCGGAAAATACTTTGAGCATAAAGAAATCATGGACAACAAAGCCTGTCCAGAAGTAATTTCAAATACAAAAATGTCTACTTCGCAAGTTTGTTAATCTATCTATGGTTTCAGAAGTTCAAGAAGTTTGCCGCTAACTATACCTAAAACAATAAATATAATAAAAAAGACTGAGATTCGGACCTCGTATCTAGTTAGCCGTTGTCATGGGAAAAATAAAGACGATCGCCTAAAAAACTCTAGCGTTAAAAAAACGCCCAATCGCGGACACCATTAGGAAAAGTCATGATGGCGCCCACGCGAACGCAAAGATTATAGTTAGGTATGGTAGATTTTAGGTTAGGTAAGTATATGAGTTAGGTTATGTTCAAAATTAGGTTAGATCATAGACAAAGAATTGGTGTTCCCTAACCAACTGTTAAGTAAAACTGCGCAGATAGGTGTGACAGAGACGAAGCGATTTTTTATTATTATTATAATATAATAATCCGAGAGTGTCGCTCAGTCCGTTATCACGTCATGATCTGTGTCTATGATCTAACCTAACCTTTAATCTAACCTAACCCTTACATTCGCGTGGGCTCTTTCTCTCGCGTTATTTCTAAAGAATCGAGATTAAATTATTAATGTATCTAAGTTTTCAGTGTTACCTTTAACAGTTCATTGTTGAGAGCGATGGTGATGCAAGCTATAATGGATATTGTGACTGCGGCAACGTTTAAGTTCATTATGTTTCTGAAGATCTCCACCACCGTCTGCAAAGAAAAGCTAATAATAGTGTAATAAATCTAGATATATGTTCTATTATAATCGAGGGGTTAATATTGATAGCAGAGAAAGCTGCCGGCGGAAAGATATTTTTAGGAGATAATTTCGTTATTGACTTGTCCCTTAAAACTAATTCAGGATTTTCTTTCAATTGTTAATTTAAGCAATATTTGTATTGCTAATTGTTTTGTGTTCAGTCCATTAATTCCATACGAGGCCATGCTCATGTTTTATAAAAAATAAAAATTTGTGTCTGTTAAAATTAAAAAATTAGGAGTGTATTTGTGTGTATTAATAGTGGAAATAAGAATGTGTATCTATGACTATGTGTGTGTCTAAAAGGAAATGTATCCTCACCATGACGACTTTATAGTTGGAAGGCAGTTTGGGCAGCATGATGCCGAACAAGTCCTTCAGTTGGGAGGCGAGCACGTGTAAAGAGGCGGCCGTCGTGAACCCCGACACCAATGGTTCAGATAATAATGTTGATACAGCGCCTAATCGGAGCATCCACATCAGCACCTGCCGGTATTATCACCAATCTAATAATCTATACATTGTGAATTTTGAGTTACCTGAGAAACTTAAAAATCATGTTAATAAAAATAGTGGGAATAGATATAAATAGTTAACGTGCTACACCCCACACCCCATACATAAAATTTTAATTTATATAGTTTACAAAATTTTTATTTCAATCAATTTATGACAGTTTAAATTGTTAAGGTTTCATAAATGCACAATTAGTGGGCAAACGTAAAGGCATTTTTCGAAAAACGAATTAAACAAAAAAAGTTTTTGGCAAAAATATTACCTACTTAAATCTTTATCTGAATTAGATAGTAAAGTTTCTCAGGTAAATCAAAGTTCACGGTGTATAACTGGATTAAAACATATATATTAATAAGATAATGAGCCACACTAACGTAAAATATAATATTGGCGCCCAACGTGGGGCTTCTGTGTTCGTCGATATTTGCTCTTTGATGAAAGTTCATTTAATGAATTTTCGGCCTCATCATCACCAGCCTATTAATAGCCCCACTGCTGGGGCATAGGTATTCCTCATAGATGGAATAGGGTGACTGGGCCATGACCTACCACACGGGCCCAGTGCGGATTACTGAATGCTAACGACTGCAGATGCAGCCGGGGCCAATGGCAAAGCTCGAGATAGTAAATTGCTGGTCAGTTATCCGATGACCGGCCATTGGGATAGAATTAAGTATACATTCAGCAAACTTTTTAAGCAAAGACCATAGACAAGGAAGCCTGTGCAGTAAAAAGTAAAGACGTAAAACGTCTACTGCGCAAATTGATTTGTCTATGGTTTTACTCAAGTTTTCTGTATAATACTAAGTATATTGAATTGAGTACGATACTAATATCCTTACCTGGAAAATTCCCACTGCTAGCGTTACTACCCCCAACACTTCTAATGGTGTATATCCATTGAGAGCAGTCACTGTTGGATAATCAAAATTAAAAATGTTTAACGTCAGCCAAACTCATTAGATCCACATAAATGTTAGCATAAAAATAGAAAAAAGAAAAACAAAGCAAATTGTACTTAGATAAAAATCTAACTACAATTTACTTGCCAATTTAAGCTCTTATTAATCAATGTACGATATCCAGACTGACTAAGAGCTAGCAAACGTACTATAAAAACTACACATTGGTGTCGATTCTGGCATTATTCTCTAAACCAAAACCGAAATTTGACAACACTGTATCCTTCTCATTCTTTGTAAGGAATGAAAAGGAGACTCTGATGTTAAATTTATTTTTAGTTTAAAGTTTTGAGAATCATGCCAGAATCGACACCAATCATTTATTACACCACATTTGACGACCTCCGTGGCCGAATGGTATATAAAGGTGCCAAGGTGTCGCCTACTCGAGAGGAGTTCGAATCCCGGTGGGGACAATGTTTGTGTGATGAGTACGAGCATTTGTACTCCAGTTATGGATGTTTAATATGTATTTCTATATAATTATGTATTCTATCCGTTACCCTAGTAACTCATAACACAAGTCTACAGTGCTTACTATGCGGCTAGGTTAATTGGTCTGAGTGCTGAAAAGTTTTATATTTATTTATTTCAGGCGTTCGTTAACGTAACGATTTCTACCCGTGTCTAGGCACGGTTTACACCGAGTCTACGCCCGGACGTCAGTTAGGTTAGGTTAGGTTAGACTAGTTAACAACAGCGGCGTTTGCGACGAATTGGGATTGGTACAAACGTACCAACCATGCTCGCATACAAGCTTAGCCGGCACCGGGATCCGGAACCTCTTACACCATTCATGTTTTCATAACATGTGCACACACACATCCACACAAGCATACATACGCACAGACAATAATATCGGCTAAAAGAAATGTTATTGTAAAAATAATGCTATTTCTTTTATGCTACTTTTTAGAGATAATTATAATTAAAATATTTAAGGTGTTCAATAATTCAATGTACCATGTCTTTTACCACGGATAGTGAGAATCGCTCCCAATATTGAGCACAGTATAATAATACCGTAATATAAATTTCAAACTTACCTGATACGTCGTCAGTAAGCGTTGCGTTGGCTATTCCGACGGCTTCTGGTCGTATAGTGGCATGTTGTGTTACTACCTGGTAAAATTTGTTTTATTCAATTTACATAAAATTCTTTTTTATGATAAACTAGCGAAGCCGCGGTAGCATAATGGTCAGTGCATTCGCCCAGGGGGTCAATCGCCTAATGGAATTACTATGGCTATCGCTATAGCTTACGATTTTATTATGATATTCTTGTCACCAATACAAAAGACAAAAGAAGAGCACGGGGCATGAGAAAACCTTCGGCGGTCAGAAATAACAAAATTTAAACGTGAGCGACATCGATAGCCATAGCAATCCCGTTAGGCCATTGGGCGCCAGATAGCAGGTGGTGCGGGTTCAAGCCCCGTCTGATACAAGGTCCACGTGGATATTTTTCTTGTAAAATTTTCTTTAGACTGTTTACAGTTCTAGCAGTTAAATGTTTAAAAATTAAAAATATAAACAGTATTTAATTACCTTTCCCGCCATAAGGCAAGCGACAGCAAACGTTCCCATCGAAACGTGCGGTGAAGTGCCAAAAATGACGTAGACCAGCACTGGGAAGAACGCCATATACAGTCCCACTATTGGAGGCACCTCTGCTAACATCGCGTACGCCATCCCTAGAACGAAGGGTTCTCAAATAATGTTTGTTTTTTAAAAAAACCATCTTTAGAAATAGATGAAAACCTAAATTTTTCGAAGCCAGTTTAAGAGCCCCAAGGCCCTTCAAACTTTTAAGAGCCTGCGCTACGTTACGCGGGTTAACCACTACCCGTGTTGGGGTAAGCAAAGAGATTACAATGCTACGAGTCACCCCAAGAAGCTTATATACAACACTGGAGATTGCATGTAGAACTTCTGTATGAAGATGAGTTCATTAACCCCATGATATGTTTTTTACCTCTCTCACACACTATCTGAAATTACCATGTTAAATACAAGAAATTCCAATCAGAAAGTGAAAATAAACAGAACTATGCAAGATATCAATCAGTTTTACAATCTCCAGAAGTCCTACTCTTGTATTACTATCATAAGATGAGTGTGACAAATTCTAACCAACTACTTTGAAATCAATATTTAAAACTAAATAATAAATTCGCCCTTTATTTCCCTGTTTGCTGGTTGCTACCATTTTGGTATAATAGCAACACTAATTAAAGAATCAACTGAAGAATATCTCCGATCTGTCAAAAATAATCTACCGCTTCGAATGTTTAGATTATTATTATAAAGTGTTAAATTGTTCAATTTGCTATTTATAATATGTATTGTGTTGTGCGAGATTGCAGAAGTGTTTGGGAACCAAATTCCAGCACTAAATTTCACAGGTAAGTCTATTACATTACGCCAATACCGAAATAAACATATTCCTATATTTTTTTTTTCATAATAAAACGTTAGTATTTATAAATCATAGTGTCCTGAGGCTATAAATTAACGTTATTCTTGTTTTATTCACTACAATTCGTACCATATTCAGCAGTTTATTAAATTAAAATAATATAAATTTTGGTTTTGTAGGGTAACCATTATCACTACACTTGAGATATTTTGAGAAAGTTAAAATACATAAGTATTATTGTAAATATTAATTACAAAGTTCAAAATATGAAAATAAGTTTATAATAAATATTGTAGTAGATCATGTTAATTAGATGTAGAAAACCTATTTAATAACAGCTATCTAGCAGCGGTCTTATACCTTTGTTTATGTTTCAGCTTCCCGAAAGATGTCATTAAAAGAAATTCTTGGTTGTCCATTATACTGTCACAAACGCTCTCGAAACGGAACCGCGAATGTGCTAGAGATCGAATTTGCCAGAGCACCGCGGGTCGCGATAGAAGTCGAGTAAGGCGGCTCATTCTAAAATGAGCCTTATGCAGTGCGACGTAAAGGAGAAAGTGCAACGATATCTGCACTTGTTTACAAGTTATGCGTATTACTTGCGTAGGTATAAGTAGGTATTTCGTACTCGCGGGTGCTAGGTAATTCTCAATTTAACAGGTACTTTCTAGAATGCATCGATCGGCGTATATAAGGACGATTGGCGCCGCGCAGAGACAGTTGAGTTTCAACAGCGATTTCGGAGCGAATCCAAAGGCGATCAAAGTGCAACAAAAGTGTTCAAGTGAGATTGTTTAGAGACTTGTATAGTGAAATACAGTGTTTAGTGAGTGTTTTGTAATTAACATTGTGTGTTAATTGTGTGAACTGTGTGGTGAATAAAGAACTGTCAATCGTGAACTGGCATATAATTTCGAACCCCATCCCGACACGTAACAATACCATTAAAAGGTCAATTTTATTTATCAGCCAAAATATGTAGCTTAGTCCGTTCATAGTAAAAGGCATTTCTGGCGATTTTAAAAAGGGTTTGCATATTCTTGCTAATTTTTTTATAAACGTTTTTGACATTGCATAAGATGCATCTAATATGAATAAAATGATTTTTGTACTTGTGAATTTTATTACTATTAAATAATGTGTTCCCAAGTTCCTATCAACTCCAACGCTTTGATTTATAAATTGTTTAAAGACGATACCAGTAAGTATGTATCCTAAACGTATATTCCAACATGGTCACCCTTAGAAAGAGATAACAAACATATGTGACGTCATTCAAGGCCACATTTTTTCACTTCAAGGTATTGTTTGCACTAATCTCCAGTGTTGTATATAAGCTTCTTGAGTCACCCCAACACGGGTATGCAAAGAGAACGCAATGCTACGGGCCACTCCTACACAGGTAAGTAGAGAGAACACAATGCTACAGGCTACCCCAACACGGGTAAGTGTAACATAGTACGCAGAATGCTACAAGGCGTCGGTCGTCCCTGCTGCATTTATAGCTTCTGCTCTACACGCCCGCTGGTTTTAGAGAGAAACATTTTATCAACCATAGCTAGATATAGGGTGAAATTGAATGTTTCAGAATTGAACTTCGTGAGATTGTTGGGTTACGTGCATAGAGTATGCCTGATTTTCTTCGGATTTTTAAAATATTTTTTTTCGTTTTTTATTTTTTTTAATTGTGCATTTTTATGTCCTTTCCTCCTTTTGAGTAATAATTATTTTTAAACACGTATTCATAGTAAGTGAAATATAACAAATAAATAAGCAGTACTAAAATAATATTTAAACAGCGGTATCGATTCTGGCATGATTCTCTAAACTTAAAAAACTAAATTTAACATCAGCCTCTCCTTCCCATTCTTTATAGGGAATGATTAGGATACACTGATGTCAAATTTAAGTTTAGGTTTTGAGAATCATGCCAGAAGCGACCCCACTGTGTGTGAATGTATATACTTCGCTCCTACTGAGTAACTATTAAGTTTGACGACCTCCGTGGATGAGTGGTTTGGGTTCATGGTGTCGCCGCGGCGCCGACTCGAGAGGTCCCAGGTTCGAATCCCGGTGGGGGCAGATGTTTGTGTGATGAATACGAGCATTTGTACTCCAGTCATGGATGTTTAATATGTTTTTATATATAAATATGCTAATATATGTACAGTATACGTATTCTATCCGTTACCCTAGTATCCCATAACACAAGCCTTACAGTGCTTACTTTGGGGCTAGGCTAATTGGTGTGAGTGTTGGAGATATTTATTTATTTAAGTAATCTGTGGTACCGTGCAGTATATGCATTCCAATCATGGCACGGCATAAAGATGTGAGAGTGTAATATTTAAATAACCACCGATTACATAAACATTTGTGTATGTATGCTTCGTACCTTGCGGTATATGCATTACGGCGGTGGTGCACCCCGCCACCAGGTCGCCGACCAGATTCCTCTTCAGGTTGTACTTGGGCAGCCATCTCGCGATCGGCACCGAGTTCACAAGACACTCTCCGAAGCCGCATCCTTTCACCACCTTCTTACATCTAGCCGCCACTGCAAGGATGACATCATCATCATCATCATCGTAAAGCTTTTATTATCCAACTTTGATGTTCGAGACTTTAAGTCAAAATTATCATGTCCCTGATTGGGTTCAAGTCTTGTTACGGCGGCGCAAGGACGCCAATGAATTCTTAAATTAAATTAATACCCACAATGCTTCCAGTTTCTTTGCGGTGATAGCACTAAGGATCTGTAACTTTAACAACATAGAGCAACAAAGATGGGACTGATTGCGTCCATGTTCCTCTATGTTTGACAAGCTGAGAATTGATCAACGCCTCTAAGTTCTGGATTAATTAATAGGTGTATTGCGAATATAAATAAGGTATTCACGAAGCGTGACACAGAGGGCTTCACCCAATCTTCTCTTGTGGGTTGCGGAACCGCACAAAATGCTTCTAGTGAGTTTAGAAATAAGAACCGCTCCGTGAGTTCTTAGCGTCACGATATCATTAAGGACTTACATGGTTTGTCGGGAGTGTGATAGTCAGCGTCCTTGTTGAGCGTATCCTGTTGGTAGATGCGCCTGATCACGTTGAACTGCTGACTGGGGCGAGCTTGTAGCCTGGAGACAAAGAGAGGAATCATTTTTTTAATGCTCACTGTTCTCTCACTCAGATTTCACGAAGACTAATGGAATGGATTGAACACGCATAAACGGCAATTATCTGTTTACTGTAGTCTTAAAGACACTTAAGTCAGGTAATAGGTAAAGAGGTTGTTCCACCAGAACCAGCCAGCTGTTATATGAGTTTATTTATTTAGAGAAAAATCAACAGTGTTACAAATAATACTTCTATTTATAATATAAATTACGGTAAGACCAATTACAGGTTTTCTTTTATAATCATTAATAGGTGTGATATTAAACAAAACAACAACTGCACAAAAACATCAGCATCGCCAAGTCCTTTAGTTTAAGAGAGACAATGTAACAAAAATAAATAAAACAGCAGCAAGGTTTCCATTTTTAGTCTATAGTAATAACAACGACCTATTGCAAGAACTCATCAGGCGCCTAGGGGGCCATTCGCCTAACAGCAATGCTTTTGTAAATCGCTATCGCTTACGATTTCATTTTGTTATTTCTAGCCGCCTGAGGATTTCAAATTATCTGTTCGCGCCTCGCGCTCTTTTTTTTCTTTTGCATTGGTAATAACAATATTAAAGAAAATGAGCGTGAGGTACTTGAAAACCTTCGGCGGTTAGAAATAACAAAATGAAATTGAAAGCATTAGCGTTTTCCAAAGCATTTCCGTTAGGCGAATGGCCCCCTTTTTTTTTAATACGCAGGTAAAAAATCTATTTACAGACGACGGCGCCTTTAAGAGGCACACCGCCGAACGGACCTCACACCTGGCTCCCGCAAGTCTTACGAACCCCCCAGTGGCTGCCCACCGAGGACCCCGCAACTCTTACGGGCGCTTTACGGTATAATATCCGCTAAAAAAGTCCTGCGAATACTTTCTAAGCTGCTTAGCGCGAAGCCGCGGGATCCCCGTTTAGGGATTCTCCGCGTCTCCGCACCTAGCAGCCTCCCGGCCAAGCCGGGGCTCCACGGCAGGGGTCTCCCGGGGTATCGCGGGGACCCCGCAGACGTGCGCGGGTAGGCCCGCGCGCGGGGGCTGAGTACGCGGCCTAGTGCCCACCGTACCGCCCCCCCGTCCGCTGCGGAGGGCTACTTGGGCGTGCCCGTGTAGCTCCCTCCGCCGCCCCCCTCTTTGCAGGACAGAACTACAAGGGGGGGCTGCCGTCACGGGGTCCGTCGGTGGCCGGCACGGCCATAGCCATGCCGGTCAGCGAGGGACCCCTCGGGTAGGGTCATGAGACGGGCGCAGCCAGGGCGCGCCGCCGTCCTCTCCTACCCGTCCTCCTTTGGCGGGAGGGAGCGGCCAGAGGATCATCCTCCCGCTCCCTCTCAGCCGCCTCCTTCTGCGAGATGACGTTCTCGCAGAAGGAGGCGGCTGCCTCCCACGCCCTGTCGCTACGGAGCATGGCCTCCACCATGCTCCGCAGCGAGAGGGCTCCGCATCCCAGCGCCGCAACGAGGTCGCGGCGCTGGTGTCGCCAGGCCGGGCACTAAAATAAGGTGTGCTCGGCCGTGTCGTCCGGGGCGCCGCAATGATGACATTGCGGCGTCTCCTCCCGACGTGCGACACGGTGCAGATAGTGACCGAAGCATCCATGCCCGGAGGCGAATGGCCCCCTGGGCCGGGCGATGAGAAACCAAACACACATTTACAATATAGTTTAAAAACGAATTGAAGAGAAAATAACAGTAACATGAAGACAAAACTCCAAGTTATACATGGGATAGCACCTAACGGCTCCGAATATTGTGAATGTTGTGATCACAGAGAAGCTCAAAATAAGAAATACAAAATTCGTCAAAGATCCTATTACAAGCCATCGTGAAAGTTGCATAACTCCCACAATCACAACCACTGCACCACCGAGTTCCTCTGCCTCTGCCAATTATACATCATCATCATCATCATCAGCCTATTAATGTCCCCACTGCTGGGGCACAGGCCTTCCCTATGGATGGAATAGGAAGATTGGGCCATGGCCCACCACGCGGGCCCAGTTCGGATTGGTGGGTGCTAACGACTGCAGATGCAGCCGGGACCAACGGGTTAACGTGCCTTCCGAAGCACGGAGGAGCTCGAGATAGTAATTTTTGTTCACCCATCCAATGACCGACCACTGCGAATGTTGATAAGTTCAACCATCGCAGCCGAACGCGCTAACCACTTGCGCCATCGAGCTCCTCAATCGAATTATACAGCGCCTTTGTCAAATTCTTAAAACACAGTAGTTACCACAGACATAAATCAAAATAGATAACGCAAGTGTATATACTATACTTCGCGTGCCAAAAGGGAGACCAATGGTCATCCTTTTACGCTTATTTATTTCTTCGCGTCACCGCTCTCGATACCGGACGACAATCGTAATGTTTAAAAAATTATCTAACTTTGTCGTATTAAGCTGTAAAAACGATATAATTGAAATAGGTGAGTGATGGTGATAGGGCCCAGGCTTTTAAACCGCTTATTTTTTAGGGTTCCGTACCTCAAAAGGAAAAAACGGAGCTCTTGTAGGATCACTTTGTTATTCGTCCGTCCGTCTGTCAAGACCGTTTTTCTCAGGAACGCGTAAAGGTGATCAAACTGAAATTTATATCTAATACTCAGGTCTACTGTACCTTGGCGCTGTAAAAAAATCAAACTTCTAAGCCAAAGCAATCAAAAGATACAGCCGTTTATGCCGCAAAATTCCGCAAATTTTCGAAACTCGTACGGGAATCAAAACCTACAGGGTACTGCCCGTGAACTTAGAATCTTGAAATTTGGTACGAAGTAACGTCTTTTAGTACAGATAAAGGAAAAATTGCAAAAAAAAACCGTAAATTTCTAGTTACATCATAAAATATGTTTTTTTGAAAATTTTAAAGTTACTCCTACCTCTTTTCTCATGAACGCGTAGAGGTATTAAATTGAGTTTGTACGGAACCCTCTGAGCGCGAGTCCGACTCGCACTTGGCCGGTTTTTCTCGTAAATACTCAAAATCTGAAACGCACGGTTTCCATACGATTTGAAGTACATGCCGCTGTCTTCTTCCATCTAGGTCTATGGTAGGTTATGTACATTCACATTTGCAGATTTTTTCTAGTAACGCAATCGAATTACGTAAGTCCATATTACTTTATTGCATATTTCGTGATGTAAATCATTTTCATAGCCGTCTGGCGGGCATCTCTTAAATATAACTACAGAAGTTATAGTTTATGAAATGTTAAAGGATTGGCAAAATAAAACAGGAAAGGGACAGTGGCGCCATCTCTTTCTGTGAATAGTTCATACAAAAAGCAAACAAAATTAGGAAGTAATTACTATATCTATTTTTTTTTGTAATAATTTCATAGCCAGATGATTTAGTCAAAAGAAAATTTTAATAGAATAAATGAATTCGAACCCGAATCTTCCGCACGGAACCTGCACCGCGTGGCATTTTTCTAGTCATCTTTAGATTAAAAAAAAAAGTCAAGTTTATGATGAAATTATAGCGTTTGATACCTTTCGGAATTCGGATTTGGTTTTAATATTTAGGTATTATGTAACAACACAAAGGTACGACTTCAACTATATCATGTGAATAAACTGTAATTGTTTTATATTCGTCGACTATTAGATAATTAAAACACAAACTTTGCAGAATTAGACATATTATTTCGGTTCTGAATATTAAAGTTTAAAAAAATGACAGTAGAAACATTATCTAATAGAACAGGTTGATGGAATTTGGTATCATACGATACGATTGCATCTGTACCGGTTCATCGCGTTTTTTTTTATTTCTTTTATTATTCGTATGAGAGATGACAAAATTATACTTTTCCTTCCATCATTAATTTGTGCACATTGGTAGGTTGTACACTTCAACATCAGCCTGTTAATGTCCCCACTGCTGGGGCGCAGGCCTTCCCTATGGATGGAATAGGGAGATTGGGCCATGGCCCACCATGCGGGCCCAGTGTGGATTGGCGGGTGCTAACGACTGCAGATGCTGCTGAGACCAACGGCTTAACACGACTTTCTTGTACACTTACCTAATTAGTATCTACTTTATAAATTTTACTAATATTTAGTGTATAATTGTTCTATGTACCAGGTTTCAGACTGGATAATTTATTGATTATTTAATTGGTTGTTAAAAAAAATTAGCTAGGTCCTACATTAAATGCTTGATATTTTGTTTGGGGTTTATTATTATGCAGGGCAAAATCTTCATCGTTAAATTGTTTTTCTCTTATCATTACAACAAGGCGTTAGGAGAAGGATTTTTATTTGAATTACTATTAACTTTCAAAGGAGATTGCTCAAATTGGCCTAAATGCACAAAAAATATTGACATACACGGTAATTCTTGCCGTAATTTTTAATTTAATTTACAGTCATTAGATTTCAACGGACACCTTTGTATAATATATTTACTTTAAAAAGAACTTTTAATTTTACCGGTTTGGAAAACATACGAATCATTTTTAATGGCTATGGGTGTAGTAACATTCAGCCAAAGACTGATCGAAGTTGTTTATATAACATAAAAACAAATCTATTTTGTAAAGATCGATAAAATAAATCATTTTTTTATTACACTGTAGTATTAATATCCACAACTATATTATCATTTTCACTAGATGCAAATGTGCTCAGACAATTATTATAGATGGTAGGCGACATCATAAAGTCTATTGCCATACATTTTTCGCCAAACACCTCCATAAACACATTATAATCTGTATATATGTTAGACTTTAAGGTATCTATCTATCTATGGGCCTACGTTCCCTGACTATAAATTAATAAATAAATAAAATTATAAGGTGTGATACACTAAAAATCTAAAATATGGTTATCTTAAAAACATAACAAAAATAATGAAGCTACTGAATATATGGCTATAGAACCTAAATCTCTTAGAACGAGAGTTTAAAATTTCTCTCTAATCTGTGGCTCATTCACAATCATCACACAATTTCTGTTACAGAGTACTTTATT